TGGAACTTGTGTTCAACAGCTCATCCACTCAGTGGGGTCAGCAATACTTTCCTCCATAGAAAACCAAAGACCAACCCAGCTAGTCTCTGAAGCTCCATCAGGCTTTCCTGCTTTCATGAGGCTATAGCCCCATTGGCTTGTCTCTGAACCAATGGGCTTAAGTGTTTTATCTGAGTGTGTGCCAACATTACCCTTCATTGCTGACAGGGATGAGTTCAAGCTTACATTTATATAAGCTCAAGTGGCTTCCCAGAAAATATGGATCTTAAAAGTTTTCTTTGTCAGTTGTCTGAGACCCATCTGTGGAGCTGATTGCTCTCTGAGAATAATGTTTTCATCACATTGTCCTGGGTCAATACTAAGAGCCTTCAATGAGGGCTTTTGACTTTCAAATGACCAGAATGAAAAACTAACTGGCTTTGATATGGACAAATGCATAAGGAACTCATTTTTTCAAAGTTGCCCACTTCACTCAGAAAGGAATACAATTCCCCTGGCAGAGAGGAGTACCTTGGATGAAGGAGAAGTTTTCCTCTCTGGACTCAGGATTAGTTCATGACATTCTCAGAAAACCAAGCTCCTGTCTTTCTCTACCCACCACTTCTGAAACAGTGAGAAGTTTCATTTCCCAAAAAAATGACAATGTCAAATGAATGTGCACATATATATGCCAGAAAAGCATGGTTGCCCAGTTACTCATCATCAATAGCACCATAACTTACACATTGGGTCCTCCAATTTCATGCATTACCCAGATCTCAAATCGTGTGATTTTTTTCTTCTGGAAGTATGGAATTTCATAGTCTGCAAAAAAACTGAAAAGCAAGGAAAATAGCTCTTAAAGTCCTATAGCAATAAGATGCTTTTTCCATTTCAATTGTTAATTTATTTACACATGACATTCTTACAGAAGATTTTTGAGGGTTTTATTTATTTATTTGTAGCTTTTATTTTTAGGCTATCTTTCTCATTCATGCATTCATTGACTGTTGACTATATAACTGTGTAGACATGGACAGCTCTGGTCACCAGCTCATCCAACTGTTTTACTTTACCTGAATTTATGAAAGCAAGCATTAGACTGGTGTTATGGATTGAATTGTGCCCCCCCTCCCCCC